GTTATCAAGGATTTCATTTTACTTGAATCCACAATCAATGCCCAAAGAGACAGCAGTCAGAAAATTAAATGCTGTATTGCATTTAGGCAGGGAATACGGTGGCTTCATGCAATAAGCACTGAACTGTGAACCACAAGGTCAGCAGTTCAAGCCCACCAGCTTCTCTGCAAGAAAAAGATGAGGTTTTCTGCTCCTGAAAAGATTTAAAGCCTCAGAAATGCTATACAGGGTTGCTATGAGTTGAAACCAACTTAATAGCACATAACAGCAACAACAAATCACATTAGGCAAATCTGCTACAAAAGACCTCTTTTAAAGTCTTCAAAAGCCAAGACATCACTTTGAGGCCTAGGTATAGCTGACCCAAATGTTGGTGTATTCATTCATTTCTTATGTAAATGAAATCTGGACAATTAATAAGGAAGACCTAAAAAAAAATGATGCATTTGAATTATTGTGTTAGTGAAGAATATTAAATATACTATGGACTGCCAGAAGAACAAAATATTTGTCTTGAAAGAAGTATAGCCAGAATGCTCCTTAGAAGTGAAGATGATGAGATTTCAGTTCACATACTTTGGACATGTTATCAGGAGGGATTAGTCCTTGCAGAAGGACATCATACTTGGTGAAGTAGAAGGTTAGAGCAGAGAGTGAGCTCAGTACCATCAAAAAGTTGTGATGTGATCAAAGTGTGTCATTTGTACCCAGGATTTCTACACTGAGAATCCCCTAGACCCATGAGACAGAAGAAAGACCTGTAGCATTCGAGATGGTGCAAAACATCGAGAAGCAGTAGCAGAGAAGCAGCAGCAGCAGAACCTGGAGGCCAGTCATGATGGCCCAGTGGGCTTCCTGGTCCCATGAGTAAGGCAGTTACAGTTTGTGCACAAAGCAAGAGAACTGAGAGTTTTCAGACTTCCCTAAGGAGTGGAGTCCCTCTGGGCACTTGTGTCGATAGAACTAGACTTGCCAACTGAGCATGAGCGTTGAGTGCCTTTGTGTCAGGGCTTACTGATGGAATGGGGTACCCCCAGGGCACTTATGGGAAAAGCTAAAGAGATTTGTGGTACTTTCTTGAGCAGAAGCCAAACTGGTCCAAGAGGCCTGAGGGTCTGCTTGTGCGAATGGCTAAAACGTTTTTATGTCCAAAGAACTGTATCCCGAGTTGATTCTGATCCTGCATTGTAACCTGCTACAACCCCTATTAAATCCCATAACTGTAAATAAGGTCTGTGAATTATCAAACCCAGAAAAGTAGCATGGGCAATGGAAGTGATAGCTAATGTCCAAGTTGATAAAATAATGTTTGGAGTGAGGAGGCATGTCTGACGTCTGCCTCCTAGAAATCAGCCTTGGGCTGTTCATCTTGATGATTCTCCTTCCCTTTTATGAAGTTAGAGGTCAGATGTCCTGGTCATGCTATTTTGGACCAGCAAAAGGCTTAAGATGTTTTTGTAGACTTAGTTAAATACACCCATCCCCATTGCCATCAAGCTGATTCTGGCTCATAGCAACTCTAAAGGACAGAGTAGAACTGCAAGGTTTCAAGGCTGTCACATCTTTCTCCTGTTTAGTGAACTGATGGTTTGGACTACTGACCTTTTGGTTAATGGTTGAGTGCTTAATCAACTAGGGTTTCTTCTAGTTAAATATGCGTGGTCAAATTTTATGAGTAACCACTAAAAGAATCAAATAGGATATATAACTTCCAAAGTAGGTACAAGGAAAAGTTACATAGGAGAAAGAAACAAGAGATTTATCTTTCTCAAATAATAAATAAAATTAACTAGACTTATAACTTAGTCATCTTTGTGGAGTTGTGGGTATTAAATTTGGATTAGGACGAGTGCAGTGTTAACAATTCTATAGTAATAATTGCTGTTGTGTGCCTTTGAGATAGTTCTGACTTATTGAGTCGGTTCTGACTCATAGCAACCCTGTATGGGATTTCCAAGAGTAGCTGGTAGATTTGAACTACTGACCTTGCAGTTACCAGTCCAGTATGTACCCTACATTGTCATACTAAGGGCCTAGTAAAAATTAAACGGAAATGAAAGAAGTAAGAGTAGTGTAAAAACAGAGATGTCAAAATGTGTAGGAGCTGAGTCAGCCACAGTACCATAACCAGGCTTTGTCCATGCCTTAGAGGTAGAAGTTAGAGCTAGGACAGTCAATGAATGAGGGACCAACAGATGCTTACGGGAGAATCTGACGCTGATACTGATGTTCACCACTTGGTATGTGTACTGTCTTTCATAGAAACATAGGCCAGGAGAGTTTAAGGGGAGCAGAGAGGGAAAGAAGCTGGGAGAAGAGCAGTAGGTCATCTCCCCAGGGAGTACCCAGAACATCTACCACCCTGCCATACCCTACTTACACAGAAGCCAGTGCTTGTAGATATTGGCACGGGTCTTCAAGGAAAGACCCAGTCAGACTAGAGAGGAATGCTCAATGGCATGAGGTGATATTCCCAAGTAGCAGTGCTTCTATGGCCTAACCATTGCGTTCCATACAAAATGCATCCACCTCTGACCTCTTCATGCTCAAGCGTTACCTTCTGCCACTTAAAAGTGTTAACTTGTTAAAAAGGAAAAAACGTAAATCAGAGCAAGTTCAGAAGAATATACCACAGATTTGAAGGTATGTAAAAATACAGCTTTATAACAATAACTAACATTGATCTACTCTTTACTCTGTGCCAGGAACTATTCTAAGTGTTCCGCGTGCATAATCTCACTTCATCTTCATGTGCTTATGATCAGGCAGAGCTGAGATTCAAAAACAAGCATTATGATCATAGAGTCTTCATTTTAAACACTATGCCACTTCTGAGTTATGGGAGGATATTTTACCTGGAGAAGATAGGATTCAAGGTTGGAAGATAATAGGTTGCCTTTATATATATATAAAACTATATGTGGAAGAAGAATAAACTTATCCTGTATGGACTCATGTGCTTAAAACTAAGAAAATGATTTTATTTCAGCCTAAGTAAAAATAATTTTGTAAGAGCCAAGGTCCCCAAAGAAGAAATGGGCTTTCTCAGAGGATGCTTCATTCTCTATCACTGGATGTTAAGTGCATCTGGTGTTAGTATTACATAGAGGATCAAAGCCTTGAATGTGTGATTGAATTAGATGCATGCAAAATCTTTTCCAAATGCAGGAGTCCACAGGACTATGAAAGTCAGAACAAAGAACTGGATGTTTAGGATGCTTAATTTTAATAATGGTGACAGTTGCAACTTACTTTGTTCCTGGGCACCTTGGAACTGGAATTTGCATTTTAAGGCTCTATACGTTTCCCTATTTCTCATCACTTGGATACTTCTTACCTTACGGTATTAGGCTGGGTTCTCTAGAGAAGCAAAACTAGTGAAGCTTATATACAGATATATAAAGAGAGGTTTATATCAAGGAAATGGCTCACAATTGTAGAGGTAGTCAGTCCCAAATCCATTGGGTAAATGTCAGCCTGGAGGGTTCTGACTCACATAACTAATAAACCAAGATCAGCAGGATAGACAGCAGGCAGGCAGATAAGGCAGGTAAGATGGCCAACCACTGACAACCCCAGAATCAACAGGCAACAGAGCAGGCCACTGGCTCAAGTAAAAGAACTGGAGGTTAGATGGTAAGCCAGATGCAGAATCCAGACCAGCAGAACCAAGCCACACCCCCAAGGAAACTTTCTTTCAATTGATTGGCTGCTCATAGCATCTCTCATCAGGGAGGATTACTATATCTTAACTGCCAAACCACTGAGAATCCTGGCCCAGTCATGTTGACACAAAACCTTATCTATCTCACTTACCTTCAAAGGCCAGGTTAAACATCACCTTCTTCAAACACTTCCCACTGCATTCCTGTGTAGCACCAGCCTAGGTACCCCACAGCACCTCATCCTTCCTGGCCATACCACCTCTCACACCACAGTGAACTGTGTCCTTGTCATTCACTTCCCAACTCCTATTCTCACTAGACTATGGCCCTTTGAGGACTTTAGTCTTCATTCTGCATATTTTTCTTGCATCTATTATGAGCCATTCACTTTTCTGGGAATTGAGATCAAGTGACAGTCAAGGTTCCTACCTTACGGAGCTTGAATTCTACATGAAGACAGACAGTACAAAGGCAGTTGTCCTTCATTGAAGTCAAAAAGCCAAACATAATGAGATAATATATGCATAGATTATGAAACCCAAACCAAGCCAATTGCCACCAAGTCAATTCTGATTTATATATATTGTATAATTTACATGTTTATGTAATTAAATATGCATTTGTATAATTAACTGATTCTAATATATTTCTAAGGAGCTCTGGTAAAGTAGTGGTTACGAGTGGGGCTGCCAACAGCAAGGTCAGCAGTTCGAAACTACCAGCAGTTCCGCAGGAGAACGATGAGGCTTTTTGCTCCCATAAAGATTTACAGCCTCAGAAACCCTGTGCAGGGTCGCTATCAGTCGGAACCAACTCCATGGTACTTAACAACAGCAACAACAATATATTTCTACCCCCCAACTGCTCTGTGGGAGAGAGATGCGACAGTCTGCTTCTGTAAAGATTTGTCTTGGAAACTCTATGGGGCGGCACCACTCCATCTGACAGGGTTGCTGTGAGTTGGAATCAGCTCTATGGCAATGGGTTTGGTTTAATATATTTATATAAATATATGTTTATATAAATAGAGATGTCTGGCAATTAAAGCAATTATTATATATCAATGAATAAATTCTTCAGTTTCATATAACCAATTCTTTTTGGTATATTTATCAGAATCTAAAGGTTTGGTCTAAAGGTCTGCCACTTATAAAACTTTGTTGCCTAGTGAATTTCCACTCTCAGTAGATCAATATCCTCTTTAAGACAACCCACTAAATAACATTTCTGAGTACCAGGGAATGAAACTCGTAGAGTATATTCCTGACCTTTTTAAAATTTTTTTCAATCAAATTTGAAACTAAAGAAGAAAACTCCCCTCTCTTTGCTTTCCAGGGTAGTGCCAGTTCGTCTCAGTCTCCATTTATCCAGATGCCAGGTGAGTGCTTTCATTAAATGAACAATTAATTAATTCCCTTTTGAGTTTAAATTGGACATTTGAGCTTCTATTCTTAACTAACAGCTTTCCAGCACTATTCATTTTATTTAATTAGCCACAAAAATATGGAAAGGGAAAATCAGTGTAATTTATATTTTTATAGTTAAATAAAGTATGTCAAATGAAAAAAAGTAATTATTCTTATTAAAATATAAGGGTAAGTCCAAAAATATTGCTATGAAAAGAGACATCTTTATTAAACAAAAATATCAAAATGTGAAGCTATTGTTTCTCGATGGATCTTCCACCTAGTTCTACACATTTCTGAAAGTGGTGTTTTATTTCTCTGACCCTCCCCTGAAGAATTCTGTACTCTTCAATATACACCGCATCACAGTGGCAGTTTGGGCATCCTCAAGGGACTCAAATCGTGTTCTTTTTCAGTGTTCTTTGAGTTTGGGAAACAACTTAAAATCTGAAGGGATAAAGTCAGGCCTGTAGGGTGAAAGAGGTAAAGTTTTTCAATAAAATTCTCATTGGACAGTCTTTGCTACCATTGAAGAACCTACAAATACATTGTCGTAATGAGAAAAAAAAAAAAAATTTCCTTGGTATAACTATCCTGGCCTTTTGTTGACCAATGTAATTTTCCATCTTCTTAAAATGTCTTCCTAATAAGCCCCTGCGAGTGTCCTATGTCCTTTGAGAAAACCTATTAAGATTACCCTTTTAAAGTTCCCCAAAATAGTCATCGTAACTTTCTGAGCTGACTTCTCTGCCTTAAGTTGAATTGGCCCAGCAACTCCCATGGTACTGATGGGCCTTGATGGCTTGGTGAGTTAAGTGTTGGGCCTCCAGGTCAGTGATTCAAACCCACCAGCCACTCCATGAGAGAAAGAAAAAACTTCCATAAAGATTCACAATCAAAACCCTAAGAAGTTGTTCTGCTCTGTCCCACAGGGTCTCAGTGATTTTCAGCCAACTCGATAGCAGTGGGTTTGACTTTTTCTTTTTTCCTTTTTTGGAAGACCCCTTAATAAGTCTAAGGCGAGTGTATTGTCTGCAGCCATTCACTGATCACAGAGACCTACTTAAACACAGTTTTTGTTTGTAGTAAACTCATGCATGTATGAACTGGAACCCTAGTAGCAACACCTTTTGACTTACCCCGGTATACTTACGATGGAAACTCTGACTTCAGTCTTCATATTCATGAGTCAATTAGACGTTTGAGGCTATAGAATATAAAGTGGTTACGAATCGGGCTGCGAACCTCAAGGTCAGCAGTTCAAAACTACCAGCTGTTCCGCGGGAGAAAGATGAGGCGGTCTGCTCCCGTAAAGATTCACAGCCTCAGAAATCCTGTGCAGGGTCGTTATGAGTCAGAACCGACTCCATGGGACTTAACAACAACATAGAATACAAAAGGCAGGGCTATAGAATATAAAATGGACTATAGAATATAAAAGGTGAGGTTATAGAATATTAAGGTGGAGTGAGTAAGAATTGTGCTGAAGGTTTCTATGGGGAATTTTTATTTCTTCTTCTGATAAATATATTTATAGTAAAATTATTGAACATAATATTATGCCACTGGATTTACCAAAAATGTAGGGCATAAGCTCGACCCCTTGGAGTTTGCAGGTCAACTGGAAAGATGGTTATGTAACTCAGTGAATTGAGTATGAACTGCTACATGGTGTGGTGAGGACCAAAATCCTGGCTGGCTATGTAGAGTTATGTATGACTGAGTCATGATAACAATGGAAAGGTGTCTACATGTGTCTCTCTTCTCTCCTATGCAAGAGTGAACACGTGGGCAAGGACCAAGCTCAGAGTAGTCCTCTGTGGTTGAAGGGAACATCTAGAATACAAGTATTTTCAATTTCTTAAAAGCCCTTTTGTAGCCTCAGTGTGTTGTTCTTGGCTAATTAAAATATACTGGTGGCAAATTGGAATAATTTTTATTAAGCCATCAATTACACAGACCACGAGTTTATGCCCCTGAACATGTTATAAATGATAATGTGTTCCCTGCTATAAAGTGTTTAGTAAACACATATTTACTCTTTTGGATCCACTGCAATTTGGGCCTTACCTTAATTAATTCTCTGCTTCAGCTTCTTCCCCCTAAACTTTTAATCCTCTGGTGAGCTCAGTGCAGGATTCAGTGTAGCCACAAGAGGACAGCAAATAACACAAGACTCTTCAAAGCCCTACAGTACCTTCTCTGCAGTTCTGTAACTTGACTGCAGAGAAGCTATGTCACCCCACAGCAAGCCAGTTAGCAAAGTCCACTACCAATTAGCCACTCTTGGCTAGGTGCAAGACACATTGTTAAATGTCAGTATACAAACAAGTATACAACAGTACAGGCTGACTTTGAATTGGAACTGGAGTTATAGCTATCCTCTTACCTAGAGATACTGTAGCTATGGGGAAGTGGGAGGGAAGTCTTCTGGAATGTTCTACAGCCCAGAAGTTACCAGTTGTTAATAATCCTGCAGATTGTTGTTGCTAGGTGGCCTTAAGTCAATTTAGACTCATAAAATCTCTGCACAGGACTTCTGAGGAGCAACTGGTGAGTTTGAACAGCTAACCTTAGGGACATAATTCAGATGTTGTAAAAGAAAAAAATGTTTCATTAGATAAAATGTAAATATCAAGGTTGTTTTGTTTTGTTTTGTGTGTCTCTTAAATCCAGCCCCTACCTGGTGCAGTGGCTGACACAAAACAATTCACTATTAATGTATGTCGAATGAGGGATTGACTGAACAGTTCTTGTGCCATCTGAAAGGAATTCTTCCCCAAAGGCAGAGTGCATTTTAATCCTATTAACTACTTGGGCTGGGATAATAAGTGATGCAGGAACACTGTATGCCATTCAAGTTACTTATCTATTTAAATTTTAGCCTTGGTATCAGGCATGTGTGAGTAACCCATTTGCCACGTGGAACCAGTACAGCAGCAACAGCGATGCCCTCAACTCCCTCTGACAAATTTTCTGCTCATTTGTTTTTCATTTGGCAACAGGTTCGCCAGTGATGTCGGGTTACTACGGTGTCAGAAGATCTTTCTTATCTGACTCAGACTTCCACAACGCTAAACAGTTTTCAAATGACGGCTACACCTCAAGCGTGGCTAAGCCCTTTTCCTGCGAGTCCTCCGGCGGGCAGAGCTACCCTGGCCTTCTGGATTCCTACCTCCCCGAGCCCTACGGAGACTACAGGCCTCCGGCTCTGACTCCCAACACCGGCTCGGCGTTCAGTGCCTCCCCGCTGCCGCCGCTACTGCCACCTCCCTTCCCCAGCGACCCCACACACTTTGTATTTGTGAGTATGCCAAAAGTCCATTTTTAGCAAGAAAACTAGCGTCCGGGATCACCTGGATCTAGTCCCGGCCCACACACTTCGCAACCACAAGCAAGGTCTGGCTTTCCCTGAAGCCTCCTGATTTTAGGACCACCAGCTCCTCCCACATACACATAGGAGGGCGTCTTCCTCAAAGGTCCCTCAATCATAACGACAGGCCTTTTAGGACAAAGAGCACATATGGCAACCTTAAACAGCTGATCTCTCAGAGCTGGCGATGGAAACTGATCTGCTTTTTGGCATCCCCGCCCCCCCCCCTCAAGTGGTCATATCTGCCATATCCTAGATATGCCTCCAACCATAATAGCAGGCGGGTTTACCTAGTATTTGGACCAGAGGACCCACCTGAACAAGTAGGGCTCATATCCGTTATGTTTTCCCAGCCACCATCATTTCCCTAGTGCATAACGAAGGAGCATTGAAGATGCATCTTAGATGCAGTTATGTGGTAAGCTTTCAGGACGGACAAATCTGTCCCTCCTCTCCTCACCCCGCCCCCACTACCCCCAAATCAGGTTTCTCCTGCCTTCCCAGGGCCCTGCCTCCTTCTTCCTCATAAGATTTCTACCCTAGGGAACTCCAGAAGTCAGTTCATAAAAATCTAGAGAATGCTAATACCCTTATATTGTTGTTGTTAAGTGCTGTTGAGTCAGTTCTGACTCATAGCCACCCTATATAGGGTTTCCCAGGAGCAGCTAGTGCGTGTGAACTGTTGATCTTGTGGTTCGCAATCCAGTGCTGATCCCATAGCGTCACAACAGGAGAGAACTGTAAGTCTTCAACCACAAAGGAATGAATCTCTAAATATGAAATATTAGACACGGAGTAGGGATTAACATTATTAAACACCTACTTGATTCGAGTAGGAGCCCAACTAGCATAGTGGTTGCAGTTGGGCTGCTGAATACAAGATCAACAGTTGGAATCTATCAGCCTCTCCCAGGGAGAAAAATGAGAGTTGCTACTCTCCTAAAACCTGAAAATAGGGTTGCTATGAGTTGTAACAGCACACTACCACCATCACTCTGTGCCACAGTTTTTCAGTGCCTTTATTCCTTTAATCCTAACAATTCAGGGTATAGTTATTAAAGCTCTATTTTACAGATGTACAAAGTGAAGTGCCTATATATCAAGAAGGTAGTAAGTGGTGTGGCTATAAATTGAACCCAGATCTTCCCAGCTCCAGAATTTAGGAGCTTCCTCCCTCCTTTTGCTCATTGAGGGCAGGTTAGCCCTTCTGACCTACTTAGATGCTCACTAAGTAGTTAGACACCTACTTCTTCCATGAGTGAGTCAGGAGCTGACCTTCCCTGCTGTGACACTGGCTTTATAGGGCTCAGAGTCTAGACAGAATGTGCTGTAAACAGTGAAGTGCTCTGTACATGTTCATTTTATTATTCTCATGTCAGCATTTCACTGCTTCAATGTTTTGGGGAAAAGGGAATCAATCATATTATATATAAAACCAATAAGCCAGTTGCCATTGAATCAGTTCTGACTCATGTTGACTCTGTGTGTGTCAGAGTAGAACTGTACTCCATAGGGTTTTCAGTGACTGGTTTACTGAAAGTAGACAGCCAACTCTTTCTTGTTGGCACTTCTGGAGGGAACCTCCAACCTCTTAGTTAGCAACTGAGCTAGCTAATAATTTGTACCACTCAGGTATCCCCTTGGTGCCTATTGTTCTTGTTGTTAAGTGCCATCAGGTCAATTCTGACTCTCTATATCCAAGTAGAATGTTCCATAGGGTTTTCAGGGGTTGATTTTTTATATACGGATCATCAGGCCTTTCTTCACAGGAATCTGTGGGTGGATTCCAACCACAAACCTTACTGTTAACCATCTGTACCACCCAGGGATTCCCATATATATACATAGTTGTTGTTAAGTGCCATCAAGTCGGTTCTGACTCATAGCAACCTTGTATAGGTTCTCTGAGGAGCAGCTGGTGGATTTGAACCACCAACCTGTGGTTCAAACTGATCTTATTGTAAAATACCACACCAGGATTCCAAATATATATATATCATTGTTGTTTCATGTTGTCAAGTACTGTTGAGTTGGTTCTGACTCATAAAGACCCTGTAGAGGGTTTCTGAGAAGTGGCTGGTAAACATGAGTCACCAACCTCACAATTCAAACCCATTTTGTAGTTCAGTGCATTAACGCACAGCACTACACCAGGACTCTAAATATAGGCAACATAATCCTAAAGTAGGAATTTTTATGTTGTCCATATGTGTGTGTATGTATGTGTGTGTGTGTGTGTGTGTAGGCAACAGAATTCTAAAGTAGGAAGGGAACTAAATTGTCACTGTTTGTGTCAAAACCCAGAGGGAAAGGCTGCCTGTAAGCAGACTTTGACAAGAAGACACAAAGCTATAGTCTCATAGCAACCACACTGGGGAATTAATCTCTCCACATTAGAGTATCAAGTATGAAAAACCCCAGTGACCTTTCCATTTTCCCCAGAGGGACTCGTGGGAGCAGACAGTGCCTGATGGTCTCAGCCAGCCGGATCCCCTGCCCGCAGACCCTCTGCAGACCTTGCCACCCAGCGCGAGTTGCCTGTCACAGCTGGAGTCAGGGAGCATCACCCAACACAGGAGCTCAAGCTGGGGAGCCACCCTGCCTAGCACTCAGTCTTACTCGCTACATGGGCTGGAGGAGCTGAACCACACACCGGGGTACCCAACCCCACCCCTCTACCCCTTCACTCCTTTCATGACAGTGGCAAATGACCTAACGCCCAAGGTGGTGCCACTTTCCTCCGATGAGGGGGCAGACACCCCTTCTATTCACGACCCTACTCCATGGACAAAAGAAGACGGGGGCATGGCATGGGGGTCGTATGAATACCGCCGAGCTTACTGAGGATGTGGACAAAAGGACTTCTATTCTGCTCTCCTTTAGATTGGTTCTATAGTCCACAGATTGTTTGAAGTGTGCTGGTGCATTGAGAACAGGATTTTCAAGATAAATCATAATGCCACCCTTTGTTAGTGGATGCTGGGGTTTATTTGTAATTCTCTTCACCACCACTCTGAAATACAACACAAAGCTAATTAAATATCATGGACTGTATTCAATAAGTCACTCAGCAGTGAAGTCTTTGGGGTCTTTAGTAACCCATTACACTCTGAATCTTCTGATTATCCCCAAAGTATCATTTGTGCTCTGAGATTCTTTCCTGAAATTACATTAAAATGTGTATGTAGATCATAATACATACTGATGTTCCTGTTTGATTTTTTTTCTGAATTATGAACTAGGTGTATTATTTAGTAAAGAGAGTGTATAGAATATAGTGCTGTCTGGGGCAAATAAAACAAAACTAATTTTACACCAGGTGACTTTAAGGAGTAAAGTATTCTATAAATTCCCTTTCTTGTAATGTCCAAGTAATAAATATGGTGTCACAGAGAAATGATTTATTGTCAGGAAAGTAGGCAGGAGACTATGACTTCATAAATACATGGTTTCAACTTCACCCTCCAGAATGCCTCCAAATCAATCCAATCCTAAAACAGTAAAGACCTTGTTTTTTGTTTTGTTTATTTCCTTTTCCTCAGTGATAATTAAAGTAGACATGGCATAGACACACGGGGATCAGAGCAGAAGAATGAAATGGGCATTTTGTGATTAAATCGGAACACATGTATTTTAAAGAAAATGTGATACACAGGACTAGGGTGCTGGCAAGAAACCAGAGAACAGAGAACCAAGGGAGTTTGGGAGAAATCATATCATCAGGCGTGGGACACCCTCATGACACACGACATCTTGACTGTAAGAGAGAAGATCTTGCTAGAAACTCACTTGTCAGGGGTATATAGCTCGTGTTGTTGCTGTTGTTGTAGTTGTTGTTAGCTACCATCAAGGGGATTCTGTCTTAGGTGACTCCACGTGTGCAGAGTAGAACTGCTCCATGGGGCTTACAAAGTTGTGACCTTTCTGAAACAGATCACCAGGACTGTCTTCCAAGACACCTCTGGGTAGTTTCTGATTGCCAAGTTTTTGGCTAATAGTTGAGGGTTTAAGTGTTTGTACCACCTAGGGGCTCCTGTACAGCTCTTGCTTTGAATAAATGGAGAAAATGACAGCTGAAGCATTCCTCCATCTTGAATACATTTTATTTGGTGGGTTCCTTTGCCAATTAAGTTCCCAAAGCAAGTCCACTGAGGAGTGTCCAGGTCCACAAGTTAGACCTGCATCTTTCCTTCTATCCTCCTATCACCTTCCTTTGTTTGCTTTCCAATCCTCTCTGCTACCTCCTAACTATGTTTTTCCCTCCATCTCCTGCAAGCTCAATGCTTTCATTTTCCGTCAGGTTGCCCAACCCCCTTGAAGACACTCTCCTTCACATCCTAACCTCTGATAATGTGTCTTATACTCTTCCACAGCTAGGTTACTGTTGTTAAGTGATAACAAATTTGTTCTAAGTCATAGTGATCCTACATTCAACAGAACAAAACACTACTGAGTTCTATGTCATTCTCACAATCATTGTTAGGTTTGAGCCCATTGTTGCAGCCAATGTTAGTCCATCTCATTGAGGGTCTTCCTCTTTTTTATTGATCTTTTACTTTTCCAACCATGATGTTCTTCTTCAGGGACTGGTTCCCCTAATAACATGCATACATGAGACAACATTTCATCATCCGCCCTTCTAAGAAGCATTCTGGCTGTACTTCTCCCCACATAGCTTGGTTTAAACAGCTCTACCAGCCCCTGGTATAGTCAACATTCTGCACCAATACTATAATTCAAATGCATCAATTGTTCTTCAGTCTTTCTTATTCATTGTCCAGCTTTCCCATGCATATGAGGTGATTGAAAAGATCACTGGTTGGATCAGGAACACCTAAGTCCTCAAAGTAAATCTTTTCTTTTCTTTTTTTAACACTTTAAAGATGTTCTTTACAACACATCTTTACCCAACACAATATGTTGTTTGATGTCTTGACTGCTGTTTCCATTGGTGTTGGATCCAAGTCAAATGAAATTCTTGGCAAATTCCGTATGTTGCTTTTTGGCCCAGTTGTGAAGATTGGGCCTGTCAGTGTGTCATACAGTGGTGGCTTGCATGTTGCTGTGACACCGGGAGCTATACCACCATTATTTCAAACCCTGCAAGGCCACGCATGGTGGGCCGGTTTCAGCGGAACTTCCAGACTAAGAAAATAGACCTGGTGATCTACTTCTCAAAAAATTAGCCAGTGAAAGTGTTTTGGTATACATCCAAAACAAACAAAGAAAAGATAAAAAAAAAAAAAAAAAAAAAAAAAAAACAGAGGGAATGGAAGCAAATGCTGTTGATTGATGATGCATGGAGGGGATTGTAATCATTGCAGTGAAACAAAATACAATAGGAGGACTGTAAAGTTGATGTTCTCCCATGTAAACTATTACTCAATTCACAATAAAAACTTTTTAAAAAAATTTAAAAATTAGCCAGTGAAAACTCCAACTAATTGGTGGTGGTAGTTGTGTGCCGTGGAGTTGGTTCTGGCTCATAGTAACCCTGTAAATCTTTATGGGAACAGAAAGCCTCATCTTTCTCCCAGGGAGCAACTGGTAGATTTGAACTGCTGACCTTGAGGTTAGCAGCCCAGCTTGTAATCCACTGTGCTACCAGAGCTCCTTACCCCAGCTGGGTTATCGTTGTTGTTAAGTGCCTTTGAGTCAATTCCGACCCATAGCGACCCTCTATAGGGTTTCCGAGGAGCAGCTGGTGAGCTTGAACCGCCGACCTTGCAGTTCAAATGGCTTTGCAGTCTGGCGCATTAACCCACAGCGCCACACCAGGACTCCAGCTACCCAAGCTGGATGTTGTTGTTGTGATGTGCCGTGGAGTCGGTTCCGATTTACAGCAACCCTGTGCGACCCTGTACAGGGTTTCCAAGGCTGTAAATCTTTACCGGAGCAGAAAGCCTCATCTTTCTCCTGCGGAAAAGCTGGTAGTTTCGAATTGCTGACCTTGCGGTTCACAGGCCAATTCGTAACCACTATGCTACCAGAGCTCCTTACCTAGGAATCCAGAAATTCATGTAAAGGATTCATCCACACTTAGAAATAAATAATGGATATTCCTCTTCTCCAGTAGTTCCAGGATATTTTCTGATTAAGCAAAATTAAAATTTATGGAATAGCAGTGGAAATTCTTGGCTAATGAACTTGGAGTCCTGGTGTGGTGCTACAGGATAATGCACTGGACCCCAAAATCGGTTTGAACAGCAAGGTCAGTAGTTCAAACTCAACAGCTGCTCTTCGGGAACCCTAGGGGTCACTATGAGTTGGGACCAACTCAACAGCACTTAATAAAATTAATAAGAAGAACCTGGCTTTACCTCACTTCAGCTCTCTCCTGAGAGAATATACGAAGTGGAATAGTTTAAAATAAAGTTTGTGGTCCTCAGCTGCTGGACACCACTCTCCCAGGTCTCCTGTTCTAAGCCCTTCTCCCACCAGCTCCTTTTTTGGTCGTTGTTGTTGTTGTTAAGTGCCGTCGAGTCGGTTCCGACCCATAGCGACCCTGTACAGGGTTTCCGAGGGTGTAAATCTTTACGGGAGTAGAAAGCCTCATCTTTCTCCCGCGGAGTGGCTGGTAGTTTCGAACCGCTGACCTTAAGGTTCGCAGCCCGATTCGTAACCACTACGCTACCAGAGTAGTTAACCTTTAATTTGCTTAATACAAAGGAGATTCAAAAAGTTCATGAAAAAATTCCATTATCTTTTAATTTCATTTTTCGATGAAATTTTTGAAGCCCCTCCAATGTGTTTTTCAATGGATGGGGCAATCTCCACTATGGAAGAGCAGGGAAGAAAGAAAACCAACCCAGTTGCTGTTGAGTCCATTTCAACTCATGGTGACCCTATATGTGTAACAGTAGAACTGTGTTTCTCAAGGCTGTCAATAGCTGATTTAAAAAAAAAAAAAAAAAAATTTTTTAAATAGATCAACAGACTTTTCTTAAGAGACAACTTTGGGTGGGCTTGAACCACCAACCTTTTGCTCAGCAGCAGAACACTTAACCATTTGCATTTGCTCCACCAAGCTAGAGGAGCTGCTCTTTATTAAGTCCAGTGTGGCTTGGCACCTCCAGCCTGGTTCCCAACCTCCCTGGTTGAGCCATCTGTCATCCAGTGGTCCCTCAGACCTGGAGAGTAGGCCTCTCGATCAGAAACAGGAGAGTTGGGTCTGCCTCTAGATTCAGGGACCTTCACCAGCCTCTCAAAACCATTTTTCTTGATCTAGATGTGTAAGACTTATAATCATCAGAATCATCAGAAGCACAGTCGTGCTTGTATAAATCCTCACTCTATGTCCAAATAACTTTGACTTTTGTTTGATTATAACACTAAATGGCAGACCTGCTCATTTCTCTTAGTTGGCTGTTACCCATTCATATATGATGTTCATCTCCTAACAACCTAAGGATGAGCTGGCTCTCATCTCCCAGCAACCCAACTTTGAAACAGAGTAGCACTCACTGAGTTCACTGAGGGAGGGCTTATATATAAAAAAAAAGAAGATATACACAGGTCCATGCTCTCTCTATGCCATTTCAGTTATCTAATCTAAATGGGTGGAGAGGGGGGAGGATAACAATCATTTCAAATGGAAAATGATTTTTAAGAATTACATCTAGCTTAGAAATAGGTTTCTATGGTACATAGAAGGAGCTCTGGTAGCATAGTGGTTATGAATAGGGCTGAGAACCTCAGGGTCAGCAGTTCAAAACTACCAGTTGTTCCATGGAGAAAGATGAGGCTTTCTGCTCCCATAAAGATTGACAGCCTCAGAAACCCTGTACAGGGTCGCTATGAATTGAAACTGACTCCACGGCACATAACAACAACAATGGTACAGA